ATTAACAGTTCCAACACCCCCCTTCAATGCTGCGCCCGCAAGAGATAGCACGATCAGAGATATGCAGCGATATTGCTACCTCGCAATGAAATTGATGACCAGTTCCGTCACTTGCTGGCGTTCAAGCCTTGGGCAATGTAAAGTTCTATCCTGCTGGCATTCCTGTGCCATGGTGCATTCAATTGAGTGTATGAAGCAGTGTGTGAGCTGCCATCAGTGAAGCGAGGGAATCTGTAGCAAGATTAGCTGGAATTGTCATTGACAGATGAGGAGATGATAACAATTCGTATGGCACCCAGCGGTGTCGTTGCTCGTAGGCACGAGACTAGATAGCAAAGTGGAGTAGAAAGTTTATCACTCCAAAACAAGATTGTAAGTGGGTATATCTTATAGGCTCAGCCGTCCAGAAACTGGTGCTGATAACGTGTTAAGAGATGATCGTGTCCAGCGTTTCATCGTAACTTCGTAAGGTCGAGTGTACTATAAGAGAAAGAGAAGAGAAGAGAAGAGCAGAATAAGCGCAATGAGAACTAGCAGACCCAAGCCCAAATTCCCAAATTCCCAAATGCCGAAATTCCCAAATGCTCAAATTCCCAACCCCGAATCACACTAGGTGCATAACTGCCAATTCCACCCTGTTACACGTCGACCCCGAAAGCATCATAAAACCTCAAAGGACTCACCGCACCTCGTCCCGCCCTCGTATCGCCAGCGGCCGGCAGAACCAGTGCTTTGAACTCTGACCTGGCATCCAGGGCATCCAGGGCAGCCGTGGCGGGCAACGGGTGCAGAGCGCGGGCTGTAGCGCTTCTGGGGAGGGTGTCGGGCAACGGGTGCGGAGCGCGGGCTGTGGTGCTTGCTGGGAGGGCGTGGGGGAGAGATGGAAAACGTCGGGGGTGGAGAACACAACATCCGGGCCGCAAACGTAACCAGGCACCCGGGATGCAGGACCCGGAGCAGGGGTGCCACTACTTCACCGCTCCTACCGCTCCCACCGCTCCCACCGCGCCCACCGATCTCACCGCTCCCGCCGCTCCCTCCGCTCCATGTTGCAGCTCAAATCACGCCCAACCACAGCACCAGTGTATACTCCGCAACCAAAGGTACCAACAGCAGGTATACATGATGCAGACTACGGATACACATATGCAGGCAATGGCTGGCGCGTTCGACAGGCTGTAGCTACCAGCATCGCGTATCGAGTGGCGCTGATGAATCCATTTGTGACGAATCGTTACCGTTACTAACAGGCCGGCTCAATACACCCACGTAACTCTGCTCTGGTGCTGCGTAAACTGCGTATTTAAACTGCGTAAACTGCGTAGTTACAATCAATCACTGCATTCTGCGTATTAAACATTTTTCCAATGTCCCAGATCCACTCCGGCTACAGGGCCGGAACAGTCACGGGTTTGTGTTGAAAGGTAACGGTACAATACAGGTTGTTACCGTACGTTGCATACAACTTTGTAACGGTTCAGTGTTGCTGACTACGAGAAACGTTGGAATCACGTGATAATGCCTTAGTCAGCCTGGACAAAACTGCTTGCTCTCTCTCCATAACTAAAAAATGATAATTAGATACTATTCTGTGAGCTAGGATTTACTACACAGTGGAAGCACAACTCTAGTGAAGGTACTCTACAAAAAATAGGCGTGTAGCTGTGTAGCTGTATAGCTACATTATGATGCAGACTGCGGAAACCGACAGGCTAGCAATGACTATGTAGCCACCGGCTGTAGCTACCCTTCGTGTGTGTGATTACTGCTGTTGACGTCAAGTTGGATGCACTCTTCCGTAGTTCGGGACAGCTTTCACAGAGACAGCACGGGCAGCAGAGTACTAGTATCATCATTACGCCTTTTCACCTACGACTACTGTACACACCCAATCTGCCACATTCCACCACGTACCCACGTACCCACATCCCACATCCCAAATCACATCCCATATCACACATTTAAAGCGCGATATTAAACAACAGCCCCAACCCCATACCAACAGCGCCAAGTCCAATCGCCATCGTCTCAACCGGCGCCGCATTAGTGCTCGTCGCGGTGGTCGTGCTGGTGCTGGTGCCAGTGCTGGTGCTCGTGCTCGTCGACGCCTCGCTGCTAGTGGTGGTCGTGGCCGCGCTGGTCGTGGTCGTCGCGACCGTGGTGGTCGTGCTGTCCTGCGCCGCTTTGACCTTGTCGACGGCGCTGGACGGGAACGAGGGCGCGCCGATGGCTTCGCATTGGGACTCGGCGTCGGTGAGTGCTTCTGGGGGGGTGTCAGCGGGAGTTGGGGGGGTGGGGTAGGGGCGGGGGGTGGGATGGTGGGTGGTGGGGCATGGGGGAGCGGAGGGGGGAGCAGAGGGAGGAGCAGAGGGGGGAGCAGAGGGGGGAGCAGAGGGAGGAGCAGAGGGAGCAGGGCACCGGGGGAACCCACGATTCAGCTCGTCCTTGTCGCACTTGGTGATCATGCAGTCGGTCATGGCGTCGATAAAGTCCTTGCTCGAGCAGATGCACTTGAGGTCGGACGGGTTCTTGCAGCCGGACTTGGCGATGTTCTGGGGCAGGCACTCATTCTAGCACACAATCAGCACACCCTCATCACCATCGCCATCGCCATCGCCATCGCCATCAATTCCTCCGTCCATCCGCCAATCCAGACTCCTCAACAAACTGAAAACACAGCGGGGAAACTTACAACACACTTCGGCAGCCCCATCTGCGCCGTCGCAGCACCGACAAACACAGCCGCGAGAACGAGCGAGAACTTCATAGTTGCTGTGTAGTTGCTGTGTAAGTAGTTGTATGTATCGTTGAATCTTGCTTTTCAGAATCAAAACGCAGCTGTGCAGACGAAAGCGGTGGAACTGGAAAGTGTGGGAAGTGTAGCAAGAGTATGTAGGTGGGAGGTAGAAAGGACTGCAAGTAGAATGGGGGGGGGAAGACGCAATATAACCCGCCCCGCCCAGCTTAGCCAGCGCAGCCAATCGCCAAACTCCACCTCGTCATGACGCAGCACGCGCACGCGCCACCGCCCATCAATCCCAATCCCTTTCCCAATCCCTATAAAACGGGCCCCAGCACAGCGTCCATTGGCCCCCGAAACCGGCGGGCCAGCCAGCCCAGAGCCACGATCTCCTCTCCTCCCCAGCTTGGCCCAGGTCCCATCGTGCCGTATTCCCCATCGTCTCAAAGGAGTCTGTATGCAGCTCGTGAAACGTACCACTGGACAGCACCGCAACGGGTGGCAACAGCGCAGGGGCGCGCGGGACAAACAAAGGCGAACGAACTCAATCGCGCTGCTATGTATAGACCGCGGCGCGGCGCGGCGTGTGCGGCGTGGATAGCCTTTCGCCTCGGGCGACACAGTGCAAATCCTGATTCGGCGAGGGGCACGTGGCGGGTGTAGCGAGGGGTGCTGAAGTCAATTGGAGTCGGCACGGGAAAACTTGCTTTGTGCGCTGGGTGACAGGTGGTGCACTGGCTATTGGAGGGCGGGGGTGACTAAGCTGGGTAACGGCCTGGGCGAGGGATGTCGATCGCCGCGGTTTATGTGTGGAAAGGGATTTTGGGAAGATGCAATGTGCTGTAACTACCGAAGACGTTGGTGGCACCGTGAGGGGTTAGCTTGTGATTAGATTTGAATGTATATTATACAGAATTATGATATGGCTGCAATTTCCACAGGTGTTGCCAGCCACTTGCAGCTGTTCCGGTGGCACAGAACGTCTTCTCATCTCCCTCAGCTCCCGCCCTTCCTTCTCCTCCTCCTCTCCACCATCTCCCTCGTTCCTCGCCCCTCCTCTGCTCCCTCATCCCACTACTCCCGCAACTTCCCCCTCGCCGCCCCAACCTTCCACTCCCCCCTCTCCCTCATCCCCTGACACCCCAACAACCTCCCCACCATCCCCTCCCCGCGCCCCTCAGCACTCAACGTCACCGGCCCCTTGCCCTCCATCTTCTGCCGCACCTTCAAGTCGCCGATCTGCTTCGCCGCGCGCATCTCCGTGATCCCCGACGCCCGCGCCACCGCGCCCGCGGCCTTGAGCTTGCGCGAGAACGTGAGCGTGCCCAGCGCCGTCTGGTGTGCGTCAGCCCGCGCCCGCCAAAGCACAGAGAGGGAGGGGCGGCGGCGTACCTCGGTGCACCCCGCGATCCACCGCGCGTGCCCCTTGACCTGCGACGGCATCACGGCCTCGAGCGTGCGCCGCGCGGTCGAGAAGGCGCGCGCGTGGTTGCGGACTGTGGCGGGTCTCATCACGGCCGGCGACATCGTGTGCTGTGGTTCGCGGTCTGTGCGGATATATGGCTGTATAGGATCTGTGCTTGTCGGCGTTCGTCTGTGCTTGTGTGTGTGTGCGAGTGTGTGTGTGAGTTTTGGGTGTGGGTGCGCGGACATACCTCTATATACCACTCCCAGTGCCCACCAGGGCCAGCCCCACGCCCGCGCTGCGCTGCGGGGTAGTAGTGACGTGCCTATGAAGTGCCGCGACATGCTAGCGAGATCGTGGGGCACGGGTAGGGCTAGGAGAGTCTTGACGTCAGCGTGACCGCGCGACGACGCGACCGCGTGCTGGTGGGTGCGGTCGCTCGGGGGACAGTGGACCGTAGTTGTGGGGAGGTGGTTTTGAGACGTGTGAGACGGAGAGAGAGAGAGAGAGATGGAGGAATGTTGCGGTTGCTTTGCTCCTGTAAGAGTTCTGTCTCCGACAGTTTTACATCAGCGATGGTTCGGGTTTGGGTCATGTGTGCTCCGGTCTCTAGCTCCAGGTGTCTCATCGCCCTTATTCTCCTCTTCTCCTCTCGCTCTTCCACATACACACATACACACACCCATTACCACCAGGCCGCCCCGGGCCCGGCCACCCAACCCCATTCCTCCTACAAGCCCGGCTATCCTACACCACCATCACCATCACCACCCCGCCCTCAGTCCCCACCCTCAGTCCCCACCCCACCCCACCCCGCCCCATCCCCTTCACCTTGCAGCAAAAACATAGCAGCACAGCCTCACGCGGGGGTCGAACCCGCAACCTTGAGATCACTCGATCACCCGAGCACTCGTAAAAGTCTCACGCTCTAGCCAATTGAGCTAGCGAGGCACGTGTTCCGCCTCAAGTATACTGGATATCACTCGTGCGCGTTTGCACCGCCCCCGCCGGGGTCTGCCGGTACGAGCGCGTTGTGCGCCAGATGCGGCTTTCGCTAGGTACGGGGCGAATAGGTACAGCGCCCGCTCGGCGCCAGCCAGGCCAGGTAGAACGCCGCCGCGGCGGTGAGCAGCAGGAGCAGCAGGAGCACGTTGAACTTCCGGTACATCTTGGGCGCCGCCATATCCACACTTCGTGCGGGTATTCAGTCATCGCGGCGGCATAGCGCAGCGGTGATTGTGTCTATGGCCGCGTCGTCCGTCTTGTACGAAACGCCCAGCCCCACGCACAGGACGGGTCGGTATGGCGGGTGTGCGGGCAGCGGCACAGCCTGGGCTTCGATCCAGCTGCGGACTGCGGTTCGAAGTGGGGTTGGGACGGAGGGTGCCAGGCGGGGTTCAGGATGGTGTGGGAAACGGCTCGCCATGGTCAAGTGAGACGCAGGAGGGATGGAGGATATCGAAGAGGTGGTGAACGAGGAGAGAGGATGGGATGGTGAGAGCCGGCACTGGGCAGAAAAATAAGAGACGCCTGGAGGTGGGTGTGTATCCGACTCCGAATGGTTACCGGTGCATGTGGTGTGTCATCTTCGATACGCTGCTCCAAGCTTTACGGGAGCTGCGACGGGATCATGGCACAGAGCAGGAGCAGCACTGCCTTACTGCCTTACTGCATGGGGATCTAGAGCAGTGACAGCGCACCGCCATCTCTGTTGCGATGCGACTAGACTCGAAGCACATACGCAGAGAGATGAACATATGATCGTGTCCACTGTGCGGCCAAGTGCCAAGCAAGCGAAAGCGAAAAGCCGAATCAGGATGGTTCGACTCCCACACACGACCGACCTAAATTACAACCCCGAGTGATAACCTATGCAGAACTGACAATTCCAACAGGCAAAGCTCTCGCAGCTCGAACAGAGCGAGGAGGGGAGACATTTCATGCGACTAGGAAAAGATGGCGGGACGTCGTTGTTCATCGCCAGTTGGTGTCGGGGAAGAGAAAGAGAAAGAGAAAGAGAAAGAGAAGAGCGCTCATTGAAGAAGGGCGCCAGACCTGAGCCTACATGTATGATCAGACCCGAATGATATAAATGCAGGATTGCCATATTCAACATTTTCTCGCGACTATCAATCCAGCGCCCGGCTCTACCTAGTTCTGGAGAGCCGGATTGGCAGACATGAGCGGTAGACGTCCACTCGCAGTAGGTTTAGTCACCCACAATCGCGTATGTATTTTGGCTTAGCGGGATTTCGGGGATGGGATGGGATGGGATGGGATGGGCGGGCGGGCGGGCGGGCGAGACATGTGTACCCTAGCCCTTCTCCCACCTATATACCACGTACCTGTACACCTCCACTTTCCCACCGCCGCCGCGGAAGGACCCACGGCTCATGCCCACACACACCCGCCACAGAACACCCAGCTTCCGAACGTCCCTGAACCCCCGACTCCCATCGCGGCGGAACAGTCGTGATACGTGTTGCATTTTCGGGACTCTTCGGGGCGGGGCGGGGCGGGGCGGGTAGTGACTGGATCGCGGGTTTGTCGCGGAAGGTAGTTTGGTTGTGGTTTGGACGGCAGATCAAGTTGCGGGAAGAAGGTTGGGGATGGAGAAACGATGAACGACAGCTAACGATGAGTTTCTGATACAGCTTGCAGTATCGTGTCTGTACCGTCCTCAGACCCGGGTCCTCAGATATCCAACTCCAACTCTGATCGCGGGCTCGCAAAAAGCTCATCCACCCTGCATCCTCCATCCACCGCACCGCTGCTCTTTACCCGCCCATCCCGTTTCTGCGCCTTGAAGTAAGATAACTCGCGGGTAAATGTCATCAACCGGGCCTCGCTAGCTCAATTGGCTAGAGCGTGAGACTTTTACGAAGAAATTCGCAGCGATCTCAAGGTTGCGGGTTCGACCCCCGCGTGAGGCTTCTTCTATCAATCTGATCTTTTTTCACACCGCCACTCCTGGTTTTTTTTCCCGGTCGGTGTACTGTACGAGTACCAAGCGTTTCCAAGGCGCGTTGCATGGATTGGGTTGGCGGTGTTGGGTCGGCGGTTGGCGGAATTGGCAGTTGGTAGATATGCAGCCCGCCAGACGGTGAATGCACGACACTGGATTATCGGCGGCCCCCAGCAGCAGCAACAAACAGGCGGCGGCGCGGCGGAATCGTGCAGGACTATCAATCGGTAACCGTCCCTCCCACCACCCACCACCCACAACCCGCAACGTCCCGCAGCCACCACAACCCGGCGGCGGGCCAGCCATCTATTTTTGCCAGCCTCGCTCGCAAGTCGCCAGTCGCTAGCCCCGCCGATGTTGACTCCATCTACTGCCAGAGCTGCGGTGATCAGTGAGTGAGAGGGCAGGTCGTGATGAAATCGAGCAGCGCTCCATCGCGCTTTATATTCGCATCGCCTCGCGCGGGGCTAGCGGCGGTTCGCGTCGACTCGCATCCACCCAGCTCCCTGCAGCGACGCACTACGGCGGCCCGTCCGAAACGATTCGTCGCTGGCCGAAGAACCAACACGCACTATGCCCGAAGCGGCCGCGGCCAATTACACGCGATAAGGAAGAGAGCTCGGCGTGTGTGTGTTTGGGGCGCTCCACCACGGAGGGAGGGTGGGAAAGTGGTGGGTGCCCCTGTATTTAGGGGCGGGAGCAGAGGGCCAGCTCAGAGGATGCACACCTCCTGCTGCGGGAAGCTGCGTCGAAGAGTTTTCACCAACGGACAAACGCTGGGTGTGAGACGAGATAACTGCTGCCTGTCTGCTGGACGTGTTTCTGCTTCTGCTGCTGCTTCTTATTCTTCTCTTCTGGATTGTTGTGTTCACGCTGTTGTGGTGCGACTTCTTTCGTGGCACTGGACCTGACGATAGGAACTCAACACCACAGAACACACACCCACGATGTCCTCGCCAGCAACCTACCGCCGCCCTGCGCGCGCCTCGACAGGCGGCTTCGCTCAGCCGACACCGCCGCTCCACTCCCCCAGAAGGCAATCGCACCCGCACCAAACCCCGACGTCGACCACCACCTCCCTCCCGTCCCTCGCCGCTACGCGCAACTCGCGCACCGCGCTCCTCCCGCCGCCGACACCGCTGCCGCAGCACCCATCCGCGGAATCCGGCGGTGCGTCCAGCCTGTCGACTGCGGCCACGGCGTTCGCGCTCAAAGCCTACCTCGAAACGTACCTGATCACGCTGGGCTGGGACCCGGCGCTGCTGTCGGCGTCGGCGTTCATCACACAGTACTCGTGGCTGCTGGGAGAGGAGCTGGCGCTGCCCGCGCCCGTCGCCGCCGGCATCTTTAACGAGCTGTTTGATGCCACGACGCCGACGATGGCGGGCGTGTGCCATGCGGTCATTGGGATGGAAGAGAAGCTGGGGTGCTCCCGCCAGGCGGCGAAGGCTGTAAGGAGGTTGTTTACCAAGAACCATGAGGGGAAGAGCCCAGAGTGGGCGCTGTCAAATTGGAGCGAGGAAGTGTTGGAGCGTAAGTGTGCCGTCGATATGGTGAAGGGGCGGAAGCGCGTCGGGGGATGGTGGGCAGTGGTGAGGGTCGCAGCTGGGAAGATGTGTGGTGGGAAGAAGAACAACTTGGGGGACGAGACAGATGTTGAGGGTGAAAAACGATAGCGTGTTAATTGCGATGGGTCGGAGTGGTGTTTTGGCTGAGCGTTGGTATACCAGGAGTTTCCTTTGTGTTGGTTCTAGCGGTATCGGAGATGTAATGTAGTAATGTCGGTCAGTCAAAGACAATTGATGGTAATGCATGCAATCCGTGTGACCGTGTCCAACAGTGTTGTGTTGGTATATAAATTGTTTGAGATGATGGCATGATCGTGTTCTTCATCCCAGAATTGATTAAGGCCCACCGGAAGTCAAAAATAAGTCGTGAAGCCGCTAAACTCGATGAACAGCACAATTATTCAAATGACTGACGAATAAATGAGAATGAGCTCGTCAAAAGGCAGAACTGCCATGCCAGAATCGTATGTCTAGTGTAAATCTTGAGTGTCACACAATCAATCATTAGTCTTCTGTCACTTGCGTACTTGCAAAGTGCATACATGTGTGAAGTTCTGCCATGAGTGCGTAGCACAAGGCCATGTAGATAGTTCTGCCATCTGGCAGGGAGCCTCGGGAGATGAATATGAGCAGATGATGAAGCAGTGAGCTGTCAGTGCTAAAGGGACGAAGCAGCGAGACTTCATCGGGAAAGCGAGAGAATCTGAAGCAAGACGGAGTTAAGATCATGAAGTAGATGAAATTTCATCCATTTGAGCTCTGTTCGGAGACTAGCGCTGATAACGCGTTGAACGTATGTTTGTCTTCATTGAGAGGGTGAAGTGTACAGGGAGAGAAGAGAAGGGCAGAAATAAGTGCGGTAGAAGGGCCGCACAAACGGCCTAAACCGAGTGATACCAGGTGCAGAATTCCAAGGACCAACACAATACATGCACAGTACCAGCATCGTCAGCACGTAGTTCGTTGTTTCTCCATCCAAACCTTTCTCCCAGTAAAGTACCATTCAACCCACACTCAAGCCCAAGCTGCCTGCCGGGAGTCGAAAATCAGTCTGAAGCTGCTGAACTCGGTGAACGACACAATTATTCAACTAAATAACGAATAAAAGGGAACGAGCTCGCGCTCGTGAAAAGGTATAACCGTAGATTTAGGAAAGTAAGGAAGGAAGATATTCAGACAGCAAGAGCTGAATGAGCTGGCCATGTGTTCTACGCTGGTTATCACTCGCTGCTATGATCTATCTCAACTCCGTCAACAAATATTTTCCGCAATGATAACACGTCGCTTCTTCTCGTGAACCCGACGCACCGCTTCCCAGCCAAACCGTTCACGAGTATTCGCAGCTTCACTGGATCAACCCACACCCTCTCCCCGCTTCATGCACACACAATACAATCGAACCGCATCCCGCGGCCGATACTGCATCTCAGATCTGCCATACCGCATCCTGTCCTCAAGCTCGCCGCTGCACACGCCCGGACCATCGCCGTGATTTCAATCGCCCCAACCCAGCACCCAGCACCCAGCACCCAGATCTGCACAAACCCAACTCACTGGGCACTGGCACCTCGGAGCAGCATCGCCCATCACCCGCCGACTCTCGTATCCGTCGACTCGGACAGGCAGCTTGCACCGGCGATCCCAAAAATCGATTGGCTGCTATGGTCCCGCGAGAATGCGAACTGCACGGCGGTCTGGGCAGGCGCGGAACTGGCGTCCGGACGGATTGCGTTCGGGGGAGCTGGGGAGTTGGGAAGGGTGTTGCATCATTGCTGTGTCATGACGGTGATCGCGATGGGCCGAGTTGGTGTACATACCTACGGAAGAGTGCGGAAGGCCGAAAGGCTGGCGCCTGGTTGCGGAGTAGGGTACTGCATAACGGGATGCTGCTGCGCGGCTGTCTGCTGGCTTCGGGTGCCATTTTGGTGGAATTATATATAATTTGTGTTGTGGATGGACATGGACAATGATGGGAAATTTGTGTCGTGGTTGAATATCTAGTGTGCTAGTCTACATGGCAGCGAAACTGTAGGTACGGCAGAATTCCAGATCATTTTGGATTGGTGATCAAAGTCAGAGACAGTGGGCGATGCGCGACGCCGGTATATCGACGCCCTCATATGCATATCGTCACGATGTTTCCACCCGTCACCATGCCACACCCGGCGCTGACTAACCCCGCATCCCCTACCCCTCCCACAACTCACTCGTCCAGTAACCCTCGCTCTTGTAGCGCTCATCGGGGTTGATAGCAGTCAGCCTTGCTAGCTCAATTGGCTAGAGCGTGAGACTTTTAGGATCTTCCTGAAGGCATCTCAAGGTTGCGGGTTCGACCCCCGCGTGAGGCTTTCTCTTTTGCTGCGCAAATTTTAACTTCGGGATGGACGCAGGGGGATCTCTTACGTACTAGGCGCGAGTCTTGCCTGCGTAGGGTGTGCCCGAGAGAAACACTTTGCTCGGTCAGGCTGCTGGTGGAATGGAGGCGGTGTGAGCATTGATGCGAAATACAGCGGCCTGTTAGTGTTATCTTGTCTAGAAAAGAATTGGAATCGACGGCGGCATTGAAGTTCAAGTCCAGCCTTTCTGGTGCCTGTGTCATCGGTCCGCCAGGTCCATTTATCCATCCACCGCGCCATCCATCCACAAGCAGTACTTGCGCTAGAAAAAGCCGTGTTTCTAGAAAACTACAAGCACTTACTTCACCATTGTTTGAATGCAAAACAGTCGTGGATCCCTCCGTCGTTCGATTTCGCCGTCGTCACGCGGTATTATCAAAATCCAGACGCTCCTGGGACGGGATGCATTCCATGTTGTATTTGTATACAACGAATGGCTTGCTGACGATGGGGTAGAACGTACCAGCCAGCAGCTGGGATATCCATCACGGCCACTGCGTCCAAGTCCACATCCACACCACCCACGTCGTGTCCCACCACCACAAAACAGAAGAAAAAAGACAAGGCAAGCCTCACGCGGGGGTCGAACCCGCAACCTTGAGATTTCCTGGCCGCCGAAGCGTCGTAAAAGTCTCACGCTCTAGCCAATTGAGCTAGCGAGGCTTGTGGGTCAGAGCGCGTTGGAAGGTACTTGACTCGCTGTGGAGTCTAGACTGATGCTACGGTGGGCTGTGGGATGGGTGCGAGTGGTGGGGGTGTTAGCTGAGGGGGCGGAGGAGTCGGGAAGATGGTAGTTGTCGTGGGGATAGGGATGGCGGGTAGACGATGCGGAAAGGGCGGACAGGTCACACCGGGCTGAACAGCAGACCGGCTGTGGTAGATCTGGTTGACAGGGCTTGCTGAACAGGAGTTAGCACACTAAGAGGACGATAGTTCTGGAGGATGTAGAAAAGATGGAGTGCCATTTACCTATCAATAATTACTAATGATGTCAAGTGAACGGAGGAAATATTACATGGACCAGCCGCAAAAGTCAAATCCGAATGACCGCCGGTGAAGAAGCGATATTGTCAACGCATTTGTCCAACTTGGCTGGCGTCCAAACTCTCCCTCCCAACCCAACTCAGCCCAAGCCCAGCCCCAAACAACGCCCGTTGAAAATTCTTCAGCCCTCTACAACCACCACACAAGAGATCACAGCACAGGGACCATTGAAGAATCAGCCCAAGGACACCATTTTCAATCGCCGCAGCCTTGAACGGCACGCACCTTCAACGGAACGCAGTGATTATAAGTCTGCGCTCCGAGCTGACGATGTCGGACTGGCCATAACACTTACCTATCACTTACCACCAATCTCATCACACGACTTACAAGTTACCACAACTTCCGACCTATCTCCCCAACAAACAACAACACTCCAACAATGTCGCGGCAAGGTCCCGCGCTCGCCGTCTCGCCATCCTCCCCAAACCGCAATTCAACAACCCCCAGCAAGCCCCCCGCCCCCCTCCTGATCACGCTCCTCGGCGGCCCCGCAAGCGGCAAGACGTCCCTCCTCACGTCCCACTTCCACGGGCACATGTCCGCGCTGCACGTGCCGACGCTGCACGCCTACCACATCCTGCGCCCGCCGCTGCACAGCGCCGACCCGTGCGCCTACGAGCACGCCGTGCTATACCCACGGGGGGTGGCCGGCTTCCAGGTGTCGGGGGACGTGCGCATCCACGCGACGGAGCACGGCGGGGCGGCGTCGCGCGCGACGGGGCCGGAGGAGTTTCCGAAGCTGGAGGAGGCGGAGGTGGTGGTGGTGTGTGTGTCGCTCGTGGACCGGGCGGGGCTGGAGGCGGTGCGGACGAAGTGGCGAGGCAGCGCGCCGGGGGCAAAGCCGGTGGTCGTGCTGGTGGGGACGAAGAAGGATTTGCGAGGCGAGGTGGTGCCGGCGGGGGAGGGCGGGTTGACGGTGGTGTTGAGGGGTGAGCTGGAGCGGGTAGCGGAGGCGCGGGGGTGGAGGGTGGGCGGCGAGTGTAGTTCTGTGACTGAGTGGGGGATGAAGGAGGTGTGGTGGAATATTGTGGATGCTGGGTTGGGCGCGAGGAGGGAGCGGAAGGAGCGGGAGAGGGCGAGGAGGGAGTGGGAGGAGGTTAATAAAAAGAAGTAGTGGGATTGAGGTGTAAATACGGTGGTTTCTTTATTGTTGGAAGTATGAGCACGGAAAAAAGAATAGGAGAGTCATGAGGATTTAAGAAAATGTGACTTCTATTAGTACTTGTTTATTACTAGCAATATTAACTTCATGAACTATGTCAGCTATAGCAACGTCTATCTCCGTGTTGAACTCCCGTGAGTCTACAGTTCCATAGCTGTCGATTGAACTTCACCTGGCTGAGTAACTTCAGTATTCGCCGCCACTGTTGAAGCCTGCGCCCGGCTATTGATAATTTCCGAAGCCACATGGACCGCAGTGATATCCGCCTGTCTTCTCAACCATCAGTAACGTCCGGCTTCAGCGTGCACCAACTTACACCAACTTACCTCTGTCGAACAACCATATCCAGCACATCATCTTTGCCCCAAAACTCTTCTCCCGCAAAACTTTCTCTCGCCGCCACTTTTACCGGGAGAGCGCGGTATTCGTTGAGGTCGTGTACTCCCCGAAATGTCCTTCTCGGATCCCAATTGTTGTCAATCAGAATGTCGGCTAGACGGTGTTTCCAGTCCTTTACATTCGCTAGCTTGGTCTCAATGCTGCCCTCTGTCATCAGGTAGTACACATACACGGGCTTCTTCTGGCCGATGCGGTATGACCGGCCCACAGCTTGCTGCTCCCACATGGGTGAGAAGTCCGTGTCGAGGATTATTACACGATTGGCTTTCTGCATGTTCATGCCCAGGCCGCCGGCTTTTGTCGAGATGATGTAAATGTCGTGGGAGCCGGTGTTGAAACACTGCAGACCATGTCGCCGGTCGTCGAATCCCACCGACCCATCCAGGCGGCAAACAGAGAAATGATTTTTTACTGCGAAACCCTCGATGTAGTCCAGAGATGCGGTGTTGTGGGTGAAGAGCAGCACTTGGTCGCCAACCTTCTTGCAGGCTTTGAGGAGGGAGAGAAGAACTACCATTTTCTTGCTGTGGCGGGCCCATGTAGGGTTCTCAACTGTTGCGTAGATATCTTTTAACCATTTGTCTTCGTTGACCTTTGAGATTTGACCTCCAGGGGGATCATCACAATCTAGAAACGTTGGTGAATCTATGCTAATTTTACAACCATCGCCGTGCATAAAGAATTTTCGGGGGCCTGGCTGCAGGGATTCTCTGTAGTATGCTCGCCGGAAGGCTTCGGGGTGGTTGCATATGGTCCGAAGATAGGTAACCGCGGTCCAGAGGACCTTTGTCTGAGATCTTTCTGCTTCGTTTCCACGATCCGACCTGGGGCGGTCATTTTCCCGTGGAGCGTGCTGAGTTCTGTGAACGTGGAGCCAACGATTTACCACAATCTCCTTGTAAATTCTCATCTGAAGGTTGGTCAAAGGTATTCGAATGATGAATTCGGTCTTATTAGTGAGCAATTCCTGGATAACAGAAGTGTTTCTCCGATGTATAGCTGGCTGAAACTTGGCAATGAGAAACTTAAAGATTTGTTCGAGATTCACGACTCCATTATTCAATTGGCCACCTGTATATCCAATATATCGATTGAGCAGGTTTAAAGTATGAAATGCGCTGTTTTCCTCGGTGGGTGTCAAGTTTCCCACATGTATCATAGACGAGAGATTATTACCAAACTGTTTTCTCAATGCAGTCAGTACGGTGTGTGTTTGTTCCGGTCGTACCCATAAAAGGAGGTAAATATATTCCTTGATACAATTTGCCAACGGTGACGCAGTGATTGCTATCCTACTCTTCGAACGGAGCTGGGCAACTGTCTTTGATATATTTGAACTATTATTTCTCAGCTCATGGGCTTCGTCGGCAATCACCAAGGCCGGACCTGGATCCAGGAGGAGCTTTCTAAATTCTTTCTGCTGCTCTACCATATCTAGGAGTTTTCGTCTGAGCTTTGGCGACATTTCCTGTTCTAACTGACTTCTTTCTATGGGATCATGATAGAGGTAGCCCTTAAACAGACTGTATCCGAGAAAGCACATTCCACCTTGTTTGTGCCAGTTATGCATAGTGATTAAACGCTCCTCAAACTCCATGCTGCTAGAAATGACATGTCTCTTTGTGAAGAAAGCTTTATCACTGGGAAATAAATTAAAACGGTCGGACCATTCACTAAGCTCAACTACCCAGTTGGTAATTAGCCCAGGGGGCATTAGAATCAGTGTACGATCGGTCTTTAGATCTCCACTGAGAAGACGTCTCGTTGGCGGATCTCTGGAGGTTCGGACCTCGTCCAAAGTAAATAGGAACGCAATGACTTGAGCTGTCTTTCCTAACCCCATAGTGTGTGCTAAGAGAGCACCGCCTTGACCGCAAACTACTTCCCGCCAGAGAAACTGTACTCCCTCAATTTGGTGACGGTTAAGGACACTAGAAAATACAGGATGCAAATAGACTGGTCTATCGGTGTCTGGCGTCGATATGGGATCAACCCTGATTCTTTCAAAAGACTGTTCCCTAGACCTAGATACATCCGACTTTTTAATTCCGTTCAAATATTTCATATTCGATGAAGGTTCTTTTCTTCGAACGTGTTTCACTGGAACTTGAGAAGATGATCCATCACTAGAAACCGATGCAAGTCTATTTTGGTTTAGTTAAATTGATACCTCTCAGGAGCTTCTTACCTTTTGTTTCGGGCGTCCATTTGTCGAAAACGGGGGATTTCTTTTGAATTTCACAGTACCAGCAAGACTACCAAAATCTCTGGTGAGAGGAGGGTCTAAATAGGACAGCGAAAACGACTTTCCATCGTTTGATCCCGTACAAGTTTGAGACGCATCAATCAAGGACTCGATGACAAGAAGCATGTTTTTAGGCAACCAGCAATGAGAGAGCAATTGTCTGAGTGGTTCTTTGGAGGTCTAGATAGATAAATTGCATTCTCAACTTTGCCAATCGATAGCAACGCGAAAGTTTGCTTGGTACGGTTGCTTTCGAAGATGGATGAACCCTGGCGTTGCGAGCTAACATGTTGATTTGCTTGGATTCCATGACGTAGACAGAAAAATTAAGTTATTTACCGTGGCCGGGTAACCGTTTTCGAGGCTCTGGAATGAAGTGACCACCATCCTGCCATCGTCGTGCACAATTCTATCTGTTGTTTGTCCTTCGGGGAAAATTGAGTGTGTTCTAGCTTTTAATCTGCTTTTGCGAACCTTGAAACTTAATAAGCGCGAAAGGCACCTATCAATCACAGAGAGAACTATACTATGCGACTAGCTAGCCTAGACCCCCTGACGAGATCAATCACTGCTGCACTGTTTGATCTACTAGCAACAACATTGTGCGATGTCCGATATATTGATTGCTTCTTTGAGTGTCTACAATAATGATCAAGTTTGTGGTGCACATGTGGGTGCAAAAGCAGTCCACTTTCAGAAGCTTGCGCAGTTATTTTGAAAATCGTCTGTCGCGGCAAACTTTTATTCGAAAGCACCATCAATATCTGTGGTGAGATGATCGATTGGGAATCCAAAGCATCCACGTCATTC